CCTCCATTATGTGTATGATTCAATGGCCCTTGCTGTAATAGAGAACTACACACCTCTGGAGTGTATGAGCGATTCCCTTCAATGTCCAGCTCATTATTTAAAGCTTTGCTAGTTTGTAACGGCAGGGTGGAAATTAGATAGAGAAGCAGGTCTTCTAGCAGCTCTGGCTTATTTTCACCACTTAGGCTTTTTATCACTTTGGACAAATTGAAATGCTGCTCACCATTTGCATTGTACTGAAATAGTTATTCCCCGGGCAACAGATATGTCACGGTTTCCATGAAATCATGCAGATGCCAGGTAGTATTGTGGAAACTCTCTTGTTTTAGAGGACAGGTCTACTGTTATTTGCTGCCTCTTTCAGTGGGGTGGGACCTGTTAGAGCTGCCTTTTTCATAACTAAACTAGCTCTCCCTCAGAACTCTCATGACAGGCGGGAAAAGGGGGAGGGATGATAAAAAATAACCCCCACGGAAGAGTAAGGCAGGAGGTAGGGGGACAGGGGTCTGGGCAGGTGCCAGGAGAGGTGTTGGTGGGTGCCATGGCACCACAGGCACCATGTTGGAGACCCCAATTTTAAACGTCAGGATTTAAAAAGAGACACCTTAAGCACATACTCACAAGCTGGTCACTAGCCAGCCACTCTGGAAAAGCCAGGCAGCTGCTGTAGGAATAATGCTCAGATGTCAACTAACTTAACCACATTACTTTCCACATAGTTCAAATGAGTTCTGTCTTCATTTGGGGGTCTATCTAGAAAGGCACGCTTTTTGGAAAGCACCCTGAGAGAGAGAGAGATTGAAAAAGCACGGGGAAGGGTTGCCACTCAGTGACAGAGCACCTGTTTTGAATGCAGAAAGTCCCAGGTTAAATGCCTGGCATCTCCAGACAGGGCTGGGTGTGTCCCCAGTTTGAAACCCTGAAGAACCACTGGATAAGGCTGTTCCCTGTGTTCCTTGGCTGGTCCCCAGATTAAAAACCACTACAAAACTGGCCAATTCTCCAAGAGACTGATTGCGGGGGGAGGGGGAGAAACCTACTGCCCCTACCCCTTCTATCAACTGCCAGAGCAGTCTTCCTCAACCTGGTGCCCTCCAGATATTGTTGGACTCCAACTCCCAGCAGCCCCGGCTAGCATGACCAACAGTCAGGGATGATGGGAATGTAGTCCAAATCTGGAGGTCACCTGCTTGGAGGATGTATAATGATGACCCCATGTTTCTATTCCTCTGTGCTCCTTGAAGCAAGAGGACGAGGTTGTTTTGATGATGTGTGGGAGATGTAAATATTGGCAATGCTATCAAGCACAGAGCCTGGCATCCCACCCTTAATTGCCCACTTCCCTGTGGCCCAGTTGATTTTAGTCAGATGATACAGGTGTGACTGAAGGCATAGGTTGTTTTACAGTCTTTAAATTGTCAGAACCTTCAGGAAACACAGAGTGGTAATTCTAGAATCAATACTAAGAGACAGGTATTTTACACCTGCTGTGTGTATGTGTAGAGGGGTGTGTGTGTGTGTGTGTGTTTAAAGAAAAGCAACAGACACTAAAAAGGTTGTGCAGGGGTGGGGGTGGAAATACTACAACAATTGACAATCATACTTACTCAATCCCTTTTGCTGGGTATATTGACAGATAGCAGGGAATTGCAGTTCAGAGAGTCAGGTAAACCAAGGGAGGTGTAATAAAACCCAAAAAACATCTGGGTCTAAGTCCAGTGAGAGATGGTGTTTGTGCTGAGATTGAAGCTTCTGTACAGCTTATATGACAGATAACAGACAGCGTTGCCAATCTCAAGCCAATTCATCTTCCATGACAGTGTGTGTAAGAAAGGGGGGGGGGAGGAGTATCTTTGGTGAAAACTACAAGACATCTGCTAAACTAGCATCAGGCAAAATGATAAGCCTTATGACCCAGGGCTCTTATCTGGCGCACCAGTGATCAGTATTTTAAGATTCGGCTCCAAGGAATCAATACATCCACACAACCAGTGACACTTAACAACTGAGATTCAGGACAGGCAAAAGGGGGGAAATGGTAAAATGCATTCACACTGCATGTAGTTAAGCTATGGAAGAGGTAGCGATGGCCAACAACTTAGAAGGCTTTAAAGACAAATGCAAGGCAAATAAGACTAGCAATCAGGGGCAGATCTACATTTTGGGGGCCCTGAAAATAGAACTGTTATGGGGGGTCCCTTCATGACCAGCGACGAGGTCTGGATAACCACTGTTACCTTCTTCAATGGGGCTGTTTACAACAACCTTTACAACATCTGTGCTACTGACTCTCAAAACTTCAGGATTGTTGAAATATATGCCACAACAAAAATTGTCCAATTTTGAGTTGTGCACCTCAAATTGAGTCTAGTAGACCCATTTTTCTAAAAGCATTTTGGACTAAAGTTGCTTCCCGGGGTCCCTCCAGGATTAGAGGCCCTGAAGCTTTAAGCTTTGTTAGTTTCGTAGCAGATCCACCCCTGCCAGCAATGACTACAAGACATGATGTTCTCTGCATCCACTGTGCGTCTGAATGGCCGCTGCTGGGAATCCCAGGTGAGAAGGGAGCTGCTATGCTCAAGTCCTGCTGGGCATCCATAGGGCATCTGGTTGGCCAATGTAAGAAGATGATGCTGGACTAGATGGGCCTTTATCCTGAGCCAGCAGGGCTCTTCTCATATTCTCGTATGCACATCCAGGTTTTTTCTTGCAGCTTGCAAGGAATCCTCAGCTTTCTTCACCAGATGACACTATGACTCAATGCTTAAAATAAAAAGTAGGTTCTAACTGTATTATCTTGCCCCCAGTTTATCACCCTTGAAAAACAACAACAAAATTATGTACCCTTTTTCCCATTGGTGTTCCAGCCCTTGGATCACTTAGGTTCCCCTTTCTCCAGCCAACCACTTCCTTTCCACCTCTGTAATATCTTTCTGAGATCACCTAACTATAATCACACAGTATTTGAAGTACAGTGGTACTTCAGGTTACAAATGCTTCGGGTTACAAATGCTACAGGTTACAGCCTCCGCTAACCTGGAAGCAGTACCTCGGGTTAATAACTTTACTTCAGGATGAGAACAGAAATTGTGCGGTGGCAGCAGGAGGCCCCATTAGCTAAAGTGGTACCACAGGTTAAGAACAGTTTCAGGTTAAGAATAGACCTCCGGAATGAATTAAGTTCTTAACCAGAGGTACCACTGTATGGCTGCATCATTGATATATCTAAGAGCACTGCAAATGCGGGCAATTGGATTTATACAGTCCATTGAATTGTATTCACATTTTCCTTCCCTCACACTCCCAAAACCTCTCCATTTGGTCCTGAGGGCTCTTTGCACCACTCTGCACCAGCCACACCTCTGCTCCCCAGGGCATGCACGTCAATGGCTCTGCTTTCTATCCTCCTTAAGAGTTTTTGCCTGGCTGGTATGTATCCTTGATGGAGCCTGGAAATATAGAGAAGTCATAAATTGTTCATTCTTCATTCTACATACAGTATTATTTTAATCTCCACCTCTTCCTTTCATCACTATTGCTGCACACTGATATATTTTGAGCCAGCAAATTCGGAATATGTTTTGTTGCAGGGGAAGCAACCAGATGTCAATGACACGTGTGTGCACTACAAATACAGCTTTCTTACCTGGAAACCAATTCTACTGAAATCCATGGAATTTCATTCAGAGCAAACATATTTAGGATTAAGGTGACTTTTAGAGGAGTTGAAGGCAGTCAGAAGAAGGCAGCGTTCCAGCATTTAGTCATATATGTTGCTACAGTTCTTACTGTCAAAAAGTTCTTCCTGATGTTTAGTCAGAATCTCTTTTCTTTTAACTTGAAGCCATTAGTTTGGGTCCTACCCTCTGGAGCAGGAGAAAGCAAGCTTGTGCCAACTTCTATGTGACTTCCACACATTCATTTGAGATGACTAAGAGGTGTTTTAGTCAGTCAAAGTTCTATATCTTCTAGTTGACTTTACTTTATGTAATGAAACCGAAAAGGGTCAGCTCAGATTTTCATTCCAACTTTTACTTTCTGTTATTTATAGCCAACATTTTGCTTTCTTCGCAATTCCCAGTACAATGCCAAAATACTGTGAGAGGAAGAGAACGAAAAAAGCTTAAAGCATTTATATGTTCTTGAGTCAGTTTGTGCGATAGTGAATTTTGCTCTATACTTATTAAATGACTCATGTAGCTTGAGTAATAAATGTATGACTAAGCTATTCAAGTAGTCATTTGCTTTCTTTCTCCAAACCATGCAAAATTGGATAAAGGCATAGCACTGCTTAAAGGTGAACTATCTAGTTTTGCAAAACAACCAATGTGGACTATGGGCATTTTTTTTCCCCAGAACAACTGGCTTAGGGCAGAAGTCATGGTGTCCTGCAAATAACCCTAGCCAGAGCTCACCATGAGTTGGCTGACTCAACAAACCCGCCCAAGTGTTTCCCCAGAAGCTGGCAATGTACCATTATCATATTTACCCAATTACATCATGATATACTCAAGGTTATTTAGCTAAACAAGGTTAAAGAAAGTGTTTCTAGTACTAATATTAGGTTACTCCCACCACTTTCCCTGCTCTACTCTTAAACTGATGTGGCCCTGTAAGACAAGATAGAATGCTTGTCCCTCTTTGTACTCATAAAAAAATAGCATTGGATGGTATGTTCATTCAACATCAGCTGTGTGTTTTATTGCACTTCACTTCAAGGTTAACTAAAGAATACTTTTGTTTCATTGCTGTAAAGTTTGGACAGTGTGGCTTCAACTATCATCAAGCTGACAATTCTAGAACAGGCAAATCTCTCAGCAGGGAAGGTAAGCTTCCCATCAGGAGCACATCTACGGCTATGACTAAGCATGCAGATTGGACTAAGAAGCTTCCACTTGCAACCACCCATCTGTAGGTTGTCTCTCACATGCGACTTCCTTCTTCAGAGGCATTTAACTTGTATGCTTCACTTGTTTAAGCAAAGAAAAGTCGATGAAGTATTTCGGTATAAGACTTGTTTATTAAACTTCTGTCCTGCTCTTCCTCCCAAAGTGGTAAACAATAACTACAGCAGTTTTTCTCTAGTTCTGATATAAAGTGATAAAATGTCTGAAACCTTCAATTCACTCTGCTTCTGTGGACTTCAAGTATCATGTAAAGAAAGTCAACATTATAATGAACCCAGACTTAGTATAGCTGACAATATTATTTTTGTACATACTAGTAATTCAGAAATGAAGTTGAACAATACTGACAATACAAAACCCTTTAAGATTCATTTTTTTATTCATACAAAACAAAAACAAATTTGGGGGGTAATAAAGGACATTCTAGTATTTCTGCTTCCAGCTAGCATTCTGTAACATTTCTCTGTTCAATATACAGCAGTCCCATCCCAGACCACAGCATCACTGAAAGCTATGAGGTTTCCATCTTGTAGCCGTGTTTTTCTAATTCAGCTCTGTAAAGTAAAAACAAAGCACACAAATTATTTAAATCCTGCGAAATGTTAGACACTCAATTCTTGCTTACATTAAAAAACACTTGATTGGAACCAGACTAAGTTTCCACTGAGTATCAATGAGACCCAAGTGCCAGGAACTGTCTGGGCTCAACCCAACATGTATGTATATAATCTCTCAAAATATATTCTAATTACTCCTCCTTTTGCTTCTGAAAGAATTAGTATTCTGATGAAAAGTCTAATCACATAATATAAAATCCTTTTTATATTGGGTTGGATCCAGATTAAAGTAAGCTGCACTATGTTCCCACTGAAATGACTTCATTCAAGCTACAATCCACTTACCTAGAAGGAGGCTTCATGACTGCACTGTCAGTTATAACTAACTTTTCACACTCATTTAAGTAGGACCCATGTGCAACTAACTTATCTGGATCCAGCTGTTCATCATATTTCTACCTGCACCAATCAATAGGAAAAGGTTGCTGTAAACAGTTCAATGAAATATGTATCTTGCTTCAGCTCTCCTATGCTACTTCCTCCAAAACTTTCCTCCCCCCTCTACCTGTGGTTGCATCCATTCGCCACCCACCCCTGTCCCCTACTGAGTTACTAAAGCAGACACAAGCAGCACAAGCCTTTGAATTATGTTGTTTCAGTGTGCATGTATCTCCATCTTCTTTGCCTGAAGAAGCCACAAACCCCTCAAGGCCAAAGGGAGGGAAGGCATTGCTAAGCATGGAGCCAAGGTAACAAAAATAAGATATATGCACAGAAAAAACAATCTGAGAACAGGAAGTGTTATTTTGCAGATACAGTACATAAAGGAAAACAGATGAAGCAACTGAAATATGATCCAATCATTAAATGCTTTCTCCTCTTCTTCTTTCTGATGTATCTGGCATGGTTCTTCAGTTTGGCTATATTATCAATATCTGCTGTATAAGAAATAATAGTCAGTCCTGCAATTAACTTAAAACTGCTTTTTCAGACTGACAATAAGTGACAGCAACACAATTTTCATCTCAAAATTCAGCTGGAGATATTGAGCTTAACCCATTTAGAGCTGCTAGTACCTCAATAGTGATTAATACTAGTTGGCACTGCAGCTATTTTATTATGTGCACAATATGGCTAAATATCAGTAAAGTGATGCAGCTTGAAACTTAAAGCAACTGCTGATGTGCACAAAGTTTCATGTTACGTATGGGAGCCGCTACAAAATGTGATTTTGTCCAGCATGTCGGATCTGATTCTTGTTTGAGGGATTCTAGCCTGCAATTTTTTCACTATTTGTATATACTGAAAACTTTTAGATGACCTTAGCTGATTGGAGAAATCATCTTCCACATTGTCATCATCCCAATTGTCTTCCCACACATGTGCATCTTCATCTTCATCTAAACCAGCCCAGTCTGAAAAAAGGACACAGGACAAGTTTAGTTTATATATAATTAAACTGTGAGCAAAACATTTCAGCAACTTGACTATCAGAAAGCTTTATTCCCTTTAATTGTGTTATAAATAGTTGTTTTTAACTGTTTTAACAATAATCTTACTGCATTATTGTTTGGGAGACTGCTATGAGGGATTTTTTACAATTAAACAGTGTATCAATTTTATGAAATGAAATAAATAAATGCAACTTTAAGGATACAATTCAGAGCACAATGTAATTTCATGCCGCTCTTCTGTAAGTATGCAATATTTACTGCAGTTCATGCAGTAATATTAATGGCAAAGGTAAAAACTGAAAGTGAACAGTGGCTAAAACATGTATCTTGAATCTACCACTTTCCCAGTATCTTATACACACTTTATAAGATGACAGAGCTCCATTGGTATGAACTGAGATTATTTTAACGGTTAGATCTGGACCAAAGCCAAGACTCGTGGTTTGTAAATGCATGATTGGAGTCAAATGATAGAAGCACTTCACAGACTGATCCCCTTAAAAGGTCTGGCTGGTAATTTCTAGTCACAGATATTCCAAATTTGTAAGGCTGAACAGCTCTGTTCAAGGTGGAGGAACCGAGTAAGGTGAGTCAGTATCAGGCAACCTAGACAACACGCCAGGGTGAGGAAATGAGGCAAAGAGATAAGAGAGCAGCAAACTAGATGCTGTCTGGCCAAAGATCAGGTACTGGCCCAGGAAGCTTTTTAAAAAAGAGAGAGGTTGAACCCAATTAGGGAAAGGGCCCAGAGTTCTGTCCTGCTAGTAAGGAGTATTGAGAGGTCAGTCCCTATTCATATATTTAAACTCCATGGATACTACTTCAATACCAGTTGGGACCCTAATACCAGGGAATTTGAAAAATGACATGTGAATAAGTTGCACATCAGATTTCATCACTGCAAAACAAGTGGGAGCTCAGGCTATTAAACCATGTGCTTTTCTCCTGACAGGCTTTCAAACCATTGGCACAAATGTGTAAGATTTGAGACACACAGTGATAGAGGCAGCGATCAAAGACCATGTATTGCCGTACATTTCTAATGCCATCCTTCAGGACATAAAAGCGACCCGTCCCAGCAATGCCTTTCTACTGTTTTCCAAAGTAAAAACTGGCTTTTCAAATACATTTCTGATCTCTAGAACTCTAACCCATGTCAATAAGTAAACCAGTCCTGTGCTTAAACAATACTGTGGCAACCTGATGCAAAAACACAGTAACTATGCTATGACAGTTCACTGGCTTTGTAACCAAAATACTACTGTATAAGTTTCACATTTAGGTGGTGTTTTTCAAAAGACACAAGATATGAGCATTTCGGGGCTTTGGCATTCTCGTTTACTATATAGCACATTGAGCTTTCATGCATTAAAAATATGAATCAAGTTAATCTTTTGATGATTCTGAAACAAATAAGTAATGCTCCCTGCTAACCAGCCTTGAGATGAGCAGACTCTCATCTTACAGTCTTTCCTCTCCCTGGAGTAAATACCACTCACTCCACTTAATCATGGCTGAGGGGTTTGTTGGCACTTATGTTAACCACTGTCAAATTCTAAACATACATACTACGATTTAAGAATGGAAAAATCCAGGGTACTTAGATATATCTCTGATGTTTTATTCTATGTTTTAAATTTTGCACATTGCAAGTTTTTGTTTTGTGTAAGTTGCTTATTTGTTTTTCATAAATAAATGAAACTTACTGCCTAGCACGTTTTTAACCAAGGAGTAGACCTGCTTTGTTTTAACTGGGTTTTTGATAAAAAGCTTCTTGCAGCTGACATTACTATAATATTAATGAACACAATAATGTCAGCAGAGTGCATTAATTCGTTTTAGATCACAACAGCCCCTGTTCTAACAGATCAATCTCTGTTGAAACACTAAACATAGCAATGCAAAACATAACTTGCAACACATTCTTATTTCAGTAATTGAAATTAGATGGATCACTGGTATCTCTGTAGCTACCATAATTTCTTGAAAGCAAATGGGTTGGGCTGAAAGACATGCTCACTAAAATTAATACGGTGTAAAATGCAAAAGCCCAAGTGCATCCAGCTGTACAGCAGCTTGGGGGGTAACACAATAGGTACTGATGGGGGTGGTGGGTAGGCGGCTTCTCCCCACCCTCAAACATTCCAGACAGACAACTAGTTTCCACATCAAAGTTCTGTGCAACTTGCAGCATTTGGAACATTAGCTGATAAAATGATCACCTCGCTTTGTGTTCCCTACTGATTAAACTTGCTGCACTATAAGCAGCAGTCATCTTCACAAAAACTGGGACAGAAAGCCTGTAACTATGCATTATTCATACAGCTAAAGGATGTTATTTGCACACTTGCAAATGTAAAATTATCATCCAGTGGTATTATTTTCCTTTCACCAGATAAAATGAAAAAATATAAAGCACTATGGGGATTTGAAAGTACTGTATCATTAATTAAGTACAACATGCCCACGTTTCAAAGATCTTCAAACTACTTGTATAACACAGTTGTTAAATTCTTCTACACTTAAAAGCCAACATATACTTTGTTTATTGCTCTAACATACCTAAGTAACTTATTTTTCACACTTCCGTACAATTTCCAAAAAATATTTAGCATGTGATGAATTCTTATAAGGAATACTGTACCACAATGGAATGCTTAACAAAAATAGAACAAATCGATTTCAGATGGTTGAATTTGAAAGGTAAGAATAAAATCACCCTTGAAATGTAGGGTGCTTTAATAAAAACATTCTTTGTGGAATGTTTCTTTCTCATATGTCAATATAAGTTTGCATTGTGAAATTCTGTAACTGGAAGGTGCACTTCTGAAATTTAACACAGAAGTTTACTGATACCCATGCTATTATTATTCATACCTATGCTACTAAAATTCTAAAGGCTCTTTCAGTTAGACTGCTGAAATAATATGACAAATCAGCAGCTCAAGATTTTTATACAAAAAAAACTTTGCACTTCTCAGTGCTGAGCAACTGCAGCACAGCAAATGCAATTAAAGCAAAATGATAGCAGCACTGCTTTTAGCACAATGTGCATGGCATCAAGCTTTAAAATATATAACAAAGTTCAGCTACAAAGCAGAGATGTTTAAAAACATAATACTGCTAATAAATTGTATGAAACAGACTTTTTAAAAATCCGCTACATAGTTTTGCTGAGCTATACAATAATACAGAAGCCTTATTTAAGGTCAGCAGTATCCACTGTTTGTGCAATCCTGTTTTACTGTTGAAAAAGCACCACCACAGATCAGCAACAGCAACGAATCAACCAATCATATTCAAACGTAATAGAAACATAATAAAGTTGAGCAAGTACTGTCTGAAACCAGAATCTGCATTTCTGGTCATCCAGCAAAGACTGAGGCCCTTGGTTCCTGAGTCTGCCACAATTTACTGGAAGCAAGTTCTATAAATGAACAGAGCTTTTTCCTGGCTATTAAAGGGTGTAAACATGTGTTCTGAATACGAAAGACTGACAATTATTAAACAGCTGCTGCTAAATGTTTAACACACATTGACTGGCTTTCTGTACATGCCATCACGTCTATTGATCAAAGATAGCATCTTTGTTCACCAGGTGAGAGATCTTGGTCCTACCAACTGTACCCAGGAAAAGAGTCGGATCACATCCCTGTTTAGCCCAAAGTGCACAAGCGGAGAGAAATCCTCCGAATGGTACACGCGTTTTAAAGCGGTCCAAAACCTGGCCAGCCACCTGTCACACCTCAAGCCTACACCTGATGTTTCTTCCACACGAGACGATTCTCACTTCGGAATGGGGGGACGATGCGGGTGAGACAGCCAGCCAGGAACTCGCGCTGCGTAAACACACCGCACATCTAAAGCACATGGCATTCTTACACTCCCACCCCGCGGGGCAAAGCATCCTGGGAACTATAGTTCGATGCTGGGAACTGCAGGTCTGAGGAGTCACGTACTTTAAATGTGTGGCGCGTGGGCAGCCTCAGGCGCGAAAGGGATGCTGGGAGATAAGGCCCCGAGGCCGCAGAGGCTCCTACTCGGGAGCAACCAAGCCCCAACTGTGAGGAGGGGGCCCCCTCTCGCGGGAACGGCGCGCGCGCACCCACACCCACACAGGCGTGTTTGAGACCTAGTTCTCAGCCTCTCCTAAAGCCTCCCCGCCCCCCACCAGGCAAAAGCGCACAGTCACCGTCCTCGTCCCTAGGCCCGCTCCCCCCCCCACGAGCCGCTCCCCTCCTGGGTTCAAGGCTACCTTCGGCCGGGAACTCCTCGAACTCGTCGTCCTCCTCCAAGAGCCCCAAGTCGACGGGCTGTTTCTTCTCCGACATCATCGGCCTTGCGCCGCTCTAGAGCCCGCCAGCGACTCCCACTCTATTGCTCCCCGCTGGGAATGACGGGACGGCGACGGAACCGGGAGGCCGGCCGGCAAGCGAGCGAGCGGGCGGGTGGAAGGCGCATGCGCCCTCTCCCGCGCGGCCTGGCCGCTCTAGCCGCCGACGTCGCTCGCGAGAGCGTATCGGCGTCACCCCACCCCCACAACCACGCGCTGCACGCTCTTGGCCCCGCGTCACGGCGGTTTATTTCGCGTCCAGCTCGTTCTTTGTGTTTAGTTACCTCGGCGGGGATGTGCAGGGAGGGAGTTTGGGTGCTTTTCTTTTCGGAGGGAGGGGGCAGAGGCAATGGGGGAAACGAGCCAGAGCGTGAGCAACAAAAGCACGCAATACAATAAACTACATCCTACATCAATATTTCAATATTTGTTTGTGCCATTCTTATCCCGCCTTTCTGCCAAACAAAATGGGATGGTGCCCATTGTTCCCCACTTCCATCCTCACAACAACCCTGTGAGGTAGGAAGATGCTGGCTAACCCTCCTGGCTGTGAGTCCTGGAAGAGCTTGCAGGCCTTTCCCCACATAGCCCAGAAAGGCCTTGAATGACTCCCAGCTACAAAAGTTGATGCTGCTGAGCAGACTCTTGGGCTGGGGTGTTGTTGTTTGGAAGCAGGGGTTGTTGCTTATTACCTGATATTAATTTCTTTGTATCTTGATTTTTAGACCTTACTATTTAATTGTTGGTTGGGTTGTGTGCAATTGTGGAGGAGTTGGGTATATTTAGCCTGGAAGAGAGGAGATATAATAATAGCCGTTTCCAAATCACTTAAAAGGGCCAGTGAATCAAGCTTGTTTTCCCCTGCTCCAGAGGGAAGAACTTGAACCAAGGGCTCCAAGTTACAAGAAAGGAATATTGCTCAAAAAAAGATATGCTGATATGCCTAGATTAAAATGTGAAGTATTGGATGGAAAAAATTAGTTAGGAAAGATAAGAATATATAGATGATTTGAGAAGATTGTAGAATGCAAAGATTATTGTAAATTGTATAATGTGGAGGAAATCGAGTGGGGGTGGAAGGAAGTGGGAGGAAGGAGAAAAGAATACAGTGGTACCTCTGGTTACGTATTTAATTCGTTCCGGAGGTCCGTTCTTAACCTGAAACTGTTCTTAACCTGAAGCACCACTTTAGCTAATGGGACCTCCTGCTGCTGCTGTGCCGCCGGAGCACAATTTCTGTTCTCATCCTGGAGCAAAGTTCTTAACCTGAAGCACTATTTCTGGATTAGCGGAGTCTGTAACCTGAAGCATATGTAACCTGAAGCATATGTAACCTGAGGTACCACTGTAATATGATGGATTGAGGAAATAGAAATGCAAATGTATGGGGGTATGGGGTGGAAATGGTGTTGGCTTTGGTACATCTGTATTGTAATGTAATGTGTGAAAACCTTGCAAGTTTGCCAGTGTGTCTCCATTACACAGTTCACTCTCGGGCGGGGGGGGGGGGGGGGAGAGATTCCGACTAAACATCAGGAAGAACTTTTCTGACCGGATGAGCTGTTTGACAGTGGAATGGACTCCCTCAGAAGGTGATTGACTCTTTCATTGGCGGTTTCTAAGCAGAAGTTGGATGACCATCTGTCGTGGATGCTTTAGTTGAGATTCCAGCATTGCAGGGAGCTGGACTAGATGATATTCGGACTGCCTTCCAATTCTACAATTCTGTGCATCTCTGAAAATATATGTTCACAGCTATTCAAGATAAAGGAACTCAGTCCTTCTTTGCATGTAGTCACCCCCTTTCTGTTTTCCCCCTTCTTCTTATCACTTTAGAAAGAATCCTGAATAACAACAATGAAACAGTTTTACTACGACTGATGTATTTCTGAAGATTTAGTTGCAACAACGATGTGGATCTACATCAGTTGAAGAACATTGTACTAAAATGTAACTGCTATTCAAGTACCTGATTATGTATACAAGCCACATAACACAGCAAAGCAAAACATTTTCCTTGAAGATTTTTCTGCATCCCACACAAGTGAGTTCTCTCTCTCACTCTCTGTTGGCATGACAGAATGAACATGTGTTGCCAAAATATAGGGGAATAAAGGATGGCTTCAGATGGCCTATTGACAGTAATTAGATAGCACGCTCACAACACTATCCCCTTCTTAAAGATGGTCTGGTCCTCAGAGCTTTTGGAGCAGAGCAATCCTAAGCATTTTTGCTCAGAAATATTATGGGACTTAGTACTCAGAAAGTGTGTTTAGGTTGGATTACAGCCTCAAAGGGCACACAGCTTTCCCTTGTATCTTGGGTTCATTTCCACCCTCAAATACCCACTTTTAAGGCCCTTTGTGGAAAACCATACTGACTCTCCCACAGCATTTACAGTAATCTGTAAATGTAATCTTTTATGATGACTTTATTTTTCTATAATCTATGTAAACTCTAGTGCTCCCATCCTCCTTTGCCAGGAGAGGTCCAAAGGCTGCTGGAAGGTTCAATTATTTCCTGCTGGATTTCATGGTTTGCTGGCAAAGCTCTTTCTGATTTGCAACAGGCAGCCTGTAGGGCACATGTTTTACAAAGTGCCTTTTCCTTCATATTATTATTATTATTATTATTATTATTGCTTTCAAAATTAGTTCACAAAAGAGTTTACAATATTAAGAGGCGGGGGAAACAGCAAGGAACATCCTTGCAATATTAAGGAATATAGTAGACTAGATAAACAAAAATGAAATCATCAAGATTAAAAGACATACCAAAAAGAAAAGAAAAGAACTCACAAGATGAGAACTGTCATTGGACAGAATGGTTTTATTTATTTTTGCTAATTTTCTTAATTACAATTCTTAGAGACCCCAAAAATGGTTAACATTATAAATTATCTCCCATTATTTTTCATTCCTTTTTTTAAAAAAGAAGCTCATTCTTGTTTGAATCCTTTAAAAGTTTTTTCTTCCTGCTTTACCCATAAAATCAAAGATATCTTGTTCAGTGTTGCAAAATCCTCCATTTTGATTTGCCATATTTAATATTCTATATAATATTGAATGTTATTTTATTTGCATAGTGTATATTGTATTATGCATATTGTCTGATTTATATGATGTTAGCTGCTCTGAGCCCTGCTTTGGCCGGGGAAGGCGGGATACAAATAAATTGTTGTTGTTGTTGTTGTTATGGCCACAGCTTTGGATTCTATCAGAAATCAGGCATGGCTCTGACACCCTGGCTTCCCAACCTTGCTTCCAGCTGACATATCTCAACTCTCCCCTCTGCCCTTTGTCTTTCTAACTACAGTACCAGACAATTATGGAAGGGAGGCCCAGCCATTTGCCCTCTGGCACAGAACCGCTTTCTTTGTTACCTTAACAACCCACACTTAGGCCAGTTCCTCACCAGGAAGCTAACTTGGCTATTCCAGGATTTGCTTAAATTTTAACACTTGCTGAATCTAGGAATTAGAAGGACCTCAGCATACAGCCTAGCCCCACAAAACTCAATAGCATTGAATATCCATGTCTGGAAAGCAGAGAAAACACCAGCAAAGGAAGAATGGCAAGTCAGGCTTATGGACTATGTGGAAGCTGACGGAGAGGATACATGAGAGAGACAACATGGATTTCAAAAAGGAGTGGGAGACATTTATAAACTATATAAAAAGACAGTATAAGAGTTGGACCCATTGGCAGGTTTTGACTAAACTTTCACAACTATATAAGAGGTAAAAACCAGCAGGGTATAGAATTCATTTAAAAATCAATACGGAAATATGGGGGAAGCCAAAGAGGGGGGAGGGGAGAAATATGGATATATAAATTGTTCAGTTAAGATCTGTGGAAAAATTTTTGTTACAATTTGGAAAATTCAATAAAAATTGTTATTTTTTAAAAAAAGAATATCCATGTCTGAAAAAGAATGGGAATGTGAGGCAATCAGTATGCTAAAAATGCACAGCTGGGAAAGTCAATTTTTAAATGAGTCCTTTGGAGTATAAAGCCACCATCTGGAATCACCCTAGGCTTACTGCTCTCGGTCTCACCATCAGAATATCCTTTTTGTTAAAACCATTTGTCTTTGAACCATGATGGCTGTGGCTTGTTAAGTGTGGGTGGGCAGTGGCATCCTTCCTGCAGTGGTGGAACTGCATTTTTGGGAGGGCGTAGGGCAAAGTTAGGGAATCTCCAGGTTTGCAGTGTTTGCCCCTATAACTCCGAACACCCCAAACCTTGCTGCCTTGCCCCACCCCATCCCAACAAGTCAATTTAGAAGACAGCCCTACTCACGTCACAAGCCACTGCTGCTATTAAATGTTTTGTGATAGTAAATGACATTCATTTGGCATTATATTGTAATATAATTGCTATTTCTCAGCTTTTACGTTGTTTCCTGGTTTTATTTGGTTGCGAGTAACTTCCCTTTGTTGCACTGGTTCTGTATCCTAATGCCACAATCTGCTGCAATGTGAAGTTAAGCCATGATGCCTTATTTTATTTTTGGCTTCTGCAATCACAGTGCTTGCCAGGGAGCATGAACTAAATCCACACGAGAGGTTAGCAACAGAAGGGGTCATCAGATGTCAAATGTATCTATAGCCGTATCCCTCTCACTTTTCATAAATGTATTCTACAGTTACAAAACCAGAGGGTAACTGATTGGGTCTGGTCAGCTACCTACTTGTGGTGCCTGCAGTGAGTGAGATTTATCACTTTAAAATGAAGTTGGATTCTGCAGGAGTTTGTTGAATTGGAGCACTGAAGAAAGGAATCATATTTTGCAACAACTTTCTATATGATTGAAGGCGCTTAAAGTGAATGCTTGCTTCAGAAATAATTGACACTCTCCATACTACTTCATAAAGAAACATGCCTTGCATTTTCCAGCATGGGAAATAGCTTTTGTTTCTTCTTCAAATTCTGTTCCACTGATTAAACTGAATAGGACCTGGGATCTTCTAACTGTACAGCGTCAGCTGTGTACATTGAGAACCAAAGGTGAGAAGGTTTAGATTGGCAAAAGAGTTAAGCAGGCAACATAAAGACCTTGGCTTAGGGTACTAACACTCAAAATTTATTAATATAAAAAGCCCTTTAAACCCCGATTCCAGGATATATTTTGCTAGCA